CAGGGTAGCACCCCGAGCCCGGATTCGCTTTCATTTCTTCACCTTTTTCAACACCTTTATAAATGTGCTAACACCACCAAGTGTTCACCAACTTGTGCACGTGTGTTATCTTTTTACAAATATTTTCCAAAGGATTAGTCATTCAATTCACCACGCCACTCGATCCTAACACATATGCATGGTTAGATCACTCAAGTGGCACTAGATGACCGATATGCAAACAAGTTTGCTCCTCTTAATAGTATGGCCATCTATCCTAAACCCGGTCATGCACTTCTCTACACAACCTTTGACCAGTGAAATGAAATGCCTTACAAATATACCTTTGCCTTGCACATTCTATTCCATCTCCTCCATCGTTGATGCAACACATGCACCAACCAATCACCAAATGAAATGATCCACTTCATATCATCACATGACCGTATTGGTTCATCGATCTTGACCTCACTTGCTTTTCACCGTTGCCTTCATCCATCAGCGCCAAGTCTTACTCAAGCTTTATCACCACGCGGTCCATCGCTCCAAAGCCTCTAACTTGCTCTTCACGCTTGCAACCGGTCCATCAAGCCAAGTCTTGTCTTGATCTTCGCCACCTTAGTCACATGACTCAATGTCATGTCTCATATGCAATAAGCTCCTTCATCACATGTGTGAGCCTTGTAACAAATCCAATCCATTTCACCTCCATGGCATGTATTGCTCACACACATGTACCTATGGACTAATCACCTGTGTATCTCATATTTATTGTCACTCAATTACCAAAACTAAACAAGGACCTTTCAAATGGAGGGAGGGAGGGAGCACGAGTGGGCATGGCGTGCAGCGAGCTCACGTGCACGGGCATGGTGTCCCCGTCTCAGGGACAGCCCAGAAAGCGGGCAGGAAAGCGGGGGGAGAGTGAGTGCGGGGGAGCGGGCAGAGTGCGAGTGCGGGAGAGAGCTAGTGCTGGGGAGCGGGCGGAACGGGGGGAAGTGCGAGTGCAAGGGAACGGGCTGTGGAACGGTGCGTCCGGCCGCCCAGATGCCCGGTCTATATCATTACCGTTAAGTAAAGCATACTATTTCTCATAAACTAGCATACACAACAATAAGTAGTATTGAAATGAATAAAACATACCATAATAGAATGGTTAGGAAATTGTACCCTTAAGCGGGACCGGTGCTGTTACTCGGGTCTGATCGAGCCTCATTGATGTAGTCGAACTCAACTGCTGTAGTGTAGCAACTCAACATAGTGCAGCGACACTTTGTATTGCAATGACGAGCCGCATGCCTACAGACGATATCGCCGTGGCTGTTGGAGGAGCGATGTTGTTGATGAAGTGTCAAAGTAGTGCTCAACATTGCCTGTCTTGGCCTGAAGGCAAAGAATGCAAGCAGTCGCGCGATACGCTTCCCAAAAACTTTATTCGTCTTGTCCCAATGTAGGATCACAAAAGCGAGGGATCGGGTCCCCACTCCTCTAGCCCCTGGTGAGGTTGCCTAATGGGAGAGAGGAGGGGACCGGCACGATCCTGCGGGGAAGGGCGGCGGTGACGGTGGCAGTTGTTTTTCTCAGTGCGGGAAGGGAGTGAAACGTCAAACCTGTAGGACCCGATATACTTAATACGTTAAAATATTTAAACCTCCATTGGAATGCAGGAATTATGTAGGAATTTTATAGAAATCAGTGTATTTTCGTAGAAAAATTGCAGGGAAGAGGAAATTTTCATACAATCCAAATCAAAGGGAGCCTTAGATTTTTAGGTTCCGTCAGAAATTAAAGCACTAGGCGCTAGCTAAATTCAGAATGCATTTGATCTGAGTTCAGTAGTGGACTCTAGTGGTGGCCTGTGGGGGACTACGCGTGCGGATGGAGCCCAACCCACATGCAAGTGTTGAACCCGTTTATGTTGTTGCGCTGCTGCGCTGAAGGGGGTGAAGGGACAGGATATGCGTGCGTACCAGGCAGGCCACCGATCGACTCGGCCCAGGAGACCAGGATGCGTACCGGGACACAGGCCATCCATCGCTGCCGCGCGCCGCCGTGTGCCCGTGTGTCTCGCTCTGCTGCTGTGGGTTTTGAGGGACCATAACCACTCATGAGATGAGACCCAGGCCTCCTGATTCCTGAAAAGGAAGGAAATCCAGCTGGTCCTCCCCTGCAGCATCTGATTCGTGGCAAGCAAACGGATCGAAACAAACGAATTGGGTCCGTCAACTGGGTCGCCGCGCCGAGGCGGTCTGCAGGCACAAGGCAGCCGTTGCCGTTACAGCCACAACAAACCCTGCCTTCCCAATGCAATCCACCTACCGGACCCTCACCTGCAGACCTGCCTGGCTGCTTGCCAGTTGCCACACCGACCGTCGTCTCAAGGCCTCGCGATGATGCACGTAAGCCCAAACCGAGAATTGCGAGTTTTTTAACGGAGGAGGGAGTAGTCCGTATCCGTATTAGCTAGCTAGCTGTCGGCTGCCGCAGAACGATCGATCCGTGTGCTGCCGCGCGCGGCGGCTTTGTTGTGTGCGGTTGGCGCGTTGGGCTCCGCTTTTCTGCATGCCCACCGGCCGGTTTGGTGCCAGGTCGCCGGAGGCCACACGATGGATGGATCGACCGAAACGAGATGACGTACGTGCATCGCCACATCGGCCGTTCGTTACGCCAACTGCCTGACTGCCGCCTGCCGCCTGCCGCGCGCGCTCCCCGGCCGGCCCGTGCGCCGTCGGTCCATCTCGTTCGGTCGCGCCGTGTGCCCGTGTTCGCTGGGCCGTATGTCTCCGCCGCGGGCGCCCTGATGTTTCACCCGCAGCCGCGCAGCGCATGCATGCATTGCATTCTCTGCTACCTTTTTCACAGTCGCAGTCGCAGTCGCAGGCAGTACCATATGAGCGCCAATTTCCACGCGACGTACCGGCCGTCGCTCGCCTGCTGGCTGCTGCAGGCATTCGCGTTAGGGGTTCCCCTGCACGCATGGGCATGACCGTACCTGCTGTACTACTAGATCGACCGGTGTGTGTGCATATAGATATATGCATATATATGCTTGCGTGCAGGTGGTTTCAGGACGAAGCAAGCGACCCACAGCCAGCCACTACTACTCTACTAGCAAATGAGCGAGACTATGCCCTTGATTAGTTCCACGAAGTTGGAATTTGGGGTTACTGTAGCACCTTCGTTTTTATTTGACAATTAGTGTTTAAACATGGACTAATTAGGCTTAAAACGTACGTCTCGCAATTTCCCACCAAACTGTGCAATTAGTTTTTTTTTCGTCTACATTTAATGCTCCATGCACGAGGCCGAAAACATTCGATGTGACAGATACTGTAGCACTTTTTGAAATTTTGGGGTCCAACTGAACACGCGCTATAGCGTTTGTTGATATATATGACCAGCAGAGACGGGTCACTGACTGACTACTCATCGGTCACCGCACGCTGCTCTGCTGCTAGCTCGATCCATCGGCACCAGCACAGTCCACATGCATGACTGATCCATGACTTCATCGCGTGCCCTTTCCAGTTTCCACACTACCGGCCCCTTGTTGCTTTCTCCTGCATCCTCCGATCCTTTCGTTTTGTTTTCGTTCTCTTTTGGTATATTAGCTTTGTCTATCTGTTTCCGGTGAACACCGATGGCTCTGCAGCTTATGCCCTAACAGATAGATTCTCAATTCGAAGAATATTATACTTAAATCGGTGTATTCTTTTTTTCCCTGTTGCGTTAGCTCAATAATCTTGACTTCTTGAGCCAGTTAAGATCAAATGAGTTCACACCGTACCAACCCCACATATTTTTGGGCAGATTCCTAAGAGCATCTCCAAGTGTTTTCAAAACACACTTTCAATCTTAATTTTTATTAGCAAGATTGAAAAAGCGCTATTTAAAAACTCCTTGTCTTAACTAACATTCTAAAATATAGTTGTGAGACTATCTAAAGAGGTGCTTCAGAAACTTTATTTTTTTTATGGAGCGGCTCCATAGAAGAGTTCGGGGAGCAGTCCAAATAGACCCTTAACCAATCTAGTAACATGCAAATATAGGCCCTGCCTATCAAGGAGCAAATGTGATGGGTGTGCGCTGGGAAATATAATTGTGCGTTTCAATAGTCTAATCTAGAGGTGGAAGAACTTAGAAAAGAATAAGAAGTAAGGACAGGGTTCTCAATGTAAATATACAAGAGACAAAGAAAATATAAAAATGGTTACAGTAATTTAGAAATAGTTTTGGATTCCTGATGTAAAATTACTTTATTTTTCTTTTACCAGCAAATAGAAACCCGACAAATATGCGCTCTTAACTTTTTTTAGCCACTTAGAAAATCATTCAATTTACCAAATTATTCTTTTTAACTATCGGATATGCTCTAACTTCCGAGCAGACGAACCAGGAGCATAGCCGAATCAGACGAGAACACACACAAAAAATCTCTGTTTTTTAACACGCGAACATCATTTTTTTAACACACAACAAACATGAAACATCTGACGGACTGACGCACAAACTACCCTCGCACGGCAGTCGATCGTCGCCTGACAAACGGCAGCCGGTGGAAAAAGCGCAAAACGACGGTGGAATTGTAACTGCAGCCGCAGCAACACCCGGCCGGCGCACAGGCGCCCCCAAACACCCCACCCACCCACACGCCGCGCGCGCACGGCGACGTGACGGGCGCACGCGTGAGGGAAGGGAAGGTCATGCGCGCGCTCCCGCTGTCCCGGGACGGAGCCCAGCCGGCGGTTCGCGGCTCAGGCTACCCCATTTTCTCCACCTCCCGATGCGGCGATGCCCCAGCAAAAACCCACCGAAAACGCCCAAAACCCACCTCAAACGGCCGCGCGCCCGAAACCGTCCGCCCGTCCGTCCGTCCACCTAACCCTTCCTTCCCATCTCATCACACCACACGAACGACCCAACTCCAGGAGCCTCCAACCACAACGCCCACGTCCGTCCTTATATACGCGCACGCAGCCCCGGCCGCCGGCGAGGGAGAGACAGGCAGGTGCTTGATCGAAATGGTGGTGCCGAGCGGTGGCGCGGGAGGAGGGGTGGAAGGCGGTGGCGGCGGCGGTGTATCGGCGGCGGGGTCGGGTTCCGGCGGCAGGGTGAAGGGGTCTTGGACGCCGGAGGAGGACGACCTGCTGCGGTGCGCCGTGACGCGGCACGGGCCGAGGAACTGGACCGTCATCAGCGCCGAGATCCCCGGGCGGTCCGGCAAGTCGTGCCGCCTGCGGTGGTGCAACCAGCTCAGCCCCGGCGTGGAGCGCCGCGCCTTCACGCCCGAGGAGGACGCCGTGATCGTCGCGGCGCACGCGCAGTACGGCAACAAGTGGGCCACCATCGCGCGGATGCTCCACGGCCGCACCGACAACTCCGTCAAGAACCACTGGAACTCCACGCTGCGCCGGCAGCGCAGGGCGGCGGCCGCAAACGCTAACGCCAGCGCCGTCGGGTGCTCCCTCCAGCTGCGGCCGCTCGCGGCCGCGGCGGTCACGGCGGCCCCCGTCCCGCTCCGCCATCTGCTGGATCTCAAGGAGTCGGCGGCGGCGGGGGCATCCGTGCCGTTCCATCGCTTTGACCCCAAGGAGGTGGACGAGGACGAGGACATGGACGAGGAGGACGACGAGGACGGCAGCAGCGAGGACTCGGTGCTGATGCCGCCGCCCAAAAAGCGGCCTTGCGCCGGCTACCAGCATCCATCTTCTCTGGACGTGAAGCCCGAACACGCGAAGCCGCCCCCGCCCCTGCCCCCGCCCGCGCCCGCGCCGGCCGAGCCGCTCACGTCGCTCACCCTCAGCCTGCCGGGTGGCGGCGGCAACGGCGTCAGGGTCCACGACGAGACCCCCGCACCGCAGAGCGCGGCGGCCAGCATGGAGGAGGGTGCCGTGAACTTGAGGGCGAAGCTGGAGCAGGACCCGTGGTTCGTACCCGTGATGCGGCAGATGATCTGCGAGGAGGTCCAGCGGCAGATGCATGGGATGGACGTGTCCTGCAGCTCGCTGGTCGCGGTGCCGGCGGGCAGGAGAAGCAGCGCCGGCGGGGCTGACGGCGGAGGCGGCGCGAACGGCCAGGCCTGATTCATCGACCCGTGACCGTGACGGAATGGCTGGCGGGCGGCGATCGACTGACCGAGCTTCACCATCATCTAACTTCTTTTTTTGTTGGTTCGTTTCGTTAATCCCATGAACATTAACGTGTCCATCACATCATCCATTGGTAGGGACGATCTAGCTTGTTTATCAGTTTACTTTTTACTCTAGCTAGTAGCAGTAATCTAAGGCCCCGTTTGGCACGGCTCCACTTCACCCATGAAGCCTTTTTTTTGGGGCTTCAGTTCCATGAACAGCTCTATGGATGGAGCTGTAGCCGTTTTGATAAATCGTTTGGCAAAACAGCTTCACATATAGTTTTTCTTAAAATATGCTCTCTAGAGAACGCCATGTAAAATGAGGTGAAGCCGAGAGAAGCCACTATTTTTAGTTCCTTCCCACCCCAAAGCTCTGTTAGAACACGTTTTTAGGGGCTTTATCGGTGGAGCTGTTTTATTTTACCCCGTTTGATAAAAAACGGCTCCAAGCAGTTTCTGAAGCCGCTAAAGAAGCCCTGCCAAACATGGCATAAGAAGAATCATCCGATAGATTAAAAAGTTTCTGTTTTCTTGGGAATGAATTACAGTTCGTGTTCGTTTGTCCGGTTCGATGCTTCCATGCATGCATAGATGGATCGGGAACGATATGATCGAGCAGTGATGGCGGCCGCCGTTGAGGTGTTTGTTCAGTTGGGCGGTTCAGTTCAGGTGTGGTTGGGTCATCGATGAATCAATGTGTTGTGCGTGCGTTGGTTTGGGCCGGGGCGAGACCCAGGCCGCTAGTGGGGTTGGGTGGTCGCGCGGCCGCGCGTGGCGTTACCCAAGTGCTCAACCGAACGAAACCGCTCGTATGCGCTACTCCGTCGCCACTACTGGTCTACTGCTACTTCGGTTACAACTTACAACTTCTGCTCAAAAACCCACCGTACTCGCATCAGGGATTGTAACAACACGATGGACTTTTGCGCTTACAAAATATAAATACACTTAAGCTAAGCTTATGATAAGAGTGTACTGGAACTTTCTCAAAAGAGCCATGCAAAAGTTTGGGCTTTGAGCACAACTGGATAAAATGGGTAATGGCACGTGTCTCCTTAATTGGTTTTACTTGATTGAAAAAATGTCTTGAAAGCTTCAGTTCTTCTCGAGGTTTACCTCAAGGGGACGCTCTATCTCCTTATCTTTTCTTGATTGTGGTCGAGGGCCTCTCTCGATCGCCTATCCAATGCGGTAAATCGGAGTGAGATCCAATTCTTGAAAATATGTCAAAGAGCTCCAGGAATATCCCATCTGATGTGATTGCCTGCTACTTCCCAAAGCCAATGTGCATCAAGCCATTAAAATTGGGGAGATGATAGCCTTCTTTGAGATAAGTACACGGCAGCATGTTAGTCCTAGCAAATGCTCCCTCCTCTTTGGACCTCAGGCCTCTGATGGAAACCATGATGCTAAAAATTCTGTCCCCCAAGTTGAGAGTGAGGTTTTTGAGGAAAATTATTTGGGCCTTTCATTCCCTGACGGAGGATGAAATCAGAATGGTTCCGGCCCATGAAAGAAAGGTTAGTTAAAAGAATGACAATGTGGCCAGACAAAAAAAATGTCTATGGGAGGCAAGAAAGTTTTAATCAAGTCGGTGGCTCAAGATATCCCAACATATGGAATGGGTGTTTTTATTTAACTGCTTCAAATCGTGAAGAATGTATGAAACTCGTGCAATACTTCTGGTGGGGGCGTCGCTTGGTTAAAAAGTTTCATGTCCTCTCCAGGAAATTTTTAACTAAACCATGTTCCCTAACAGTCTTTGTTCCCAGGTGCTTAAAGCTGAGTATTTACCCTAACGGTGAACTTTTTGACACAGTTTTCGCCTCCGAGATTTCACTGGCTTGGAGGGGAGTTCAGCATGGCCGCCAGCTGTTAAATAGGGCACTAATATGGAGGATTCAATCTGGAAGCAAAATCCATGGAGAGACAATTGGATACCAAGGAGAAGTACAATGAAGATCGTTTGTAAGAAAAAGATGCAGACTGCGTTGGGTTTCCTAGCTTTTTAGACAACAATTCAAAGAATGGGATTTCGATGTTCTAAAAATGTACTTTCATGACCATGGCATTGAGGAAGTTATGAAAATCAGAATTCCACAGCAACAAGTTGAGGATGTACTAGCATGGCATGACGAGGATTCAGGGATTTTCATGGTAATCAAAAGACAAAAGTGCTTACCACCTAGCTCTGCATGGCCTCTGCAGGAAACATGAACCTGTTCCTCGCCTGATGGAAGACTCGATGTGTTGAGTCACATTTGGTCTGCTCCTGTACCTGAGAAAATTAGGATTTTTGCATGGAGGCTAGCAAGCAATGGTCTAGCGATGATGGAAAAAGCTAGGAGAAGAGACATGGAGACATCTAGGGCCTGTATGGAAGAGATAGGGCTAATTACTAGTTCGATAAAAAATTAGTTCTAATTAGCTAATGTTGGCTAACTAGTTGACTAACAACTACTTGAAGGGCTTTGTTGTGGTACCTCTAAGTAACTGTGGACCGTTGATCTTGATGTCTTTTACCAAATATTACTTCATATTGGAGGTAATAATAAAATTAGATATTTAATTGTTTTTAATTTTGGAAGAAAATAAAGTGTTGAAATATGTTGTCTATTTATTTTTGGAAAGTTCGGTAGATCTAATCGTTTTTTGAATATGATGGAGATTTCTTTTAACGTGACAAAGGTGTGTATGCCTGCCTGGTACACCTTATATTGGTAGCGGTTTTTAGAACGTGATAATTTTTTAGAATTTTAGAACGTGATATATACAGGTGCAAATTTGTGATCTTTGGTGTAAGTTTCTCAAAAAAAAAAAATTACTGAAACATACAAGGTGCGTGACAGCTTCATTACGTGTAACTGCATAAACGTACTAGTTTTTTTGTTACAATGTATGATTAATATGACCGTGCACCCAACCATGATGACGTAGTTCCATCTCTTGTACGTTCGTACAAGGCCAACCATATAATAAACATAACATGTGCACAATATCTTAGCAAAAATTTCAAATGAAGATCGCCTCTCAGTTATTGCCATGCCAGGATTTCTTTTCCTTTTGTTGATCCGAACTTGTGGCGTTAGATAAGGAAAGGAAATAACTGTTGGTGCTGTGAGAGGCGAGGCTAGCCGGGATTGTCGGTATTATTTGGTTTTTTTCATTAATTTTAATTATATAAATTTATTATGCATTCTAAAAAATATATTATTTTTAAAAAATCAAGGGCCAAGATTTGTTCAAAATATTACTTCCTGGGAAGTAAAGGTTGTATTGTAGAAAAACAATTAGCCCACCTATTAGCCTTCCTGTTTGATGCACTAGGGCTAGTTTTAGCTAGTAGCAATTAGCTCTTATATCAAATATGCCCCTAATCTTGGTTTTAGATCAGTGACAAAGTCTGCCAAAATTGGGTTACCCGGTTTTAGATACCGAGTGGTCTAGTTTTGCTCGGGATAGTTGACGGTCGTTAACATCATTCATAAATCGTCAACATAACCTGCATATTTACTTAATTTCATCACCAAACAAAGGTCTAGGGATTTAAATTAATAAATTCCACGAGTTTTGGTGAATCTGTAAATACAGGAGGATTTAATAAAAAACCATCAAGGTGGACGCAATTGTCAGATCAAATCTCGTTTATCCGCGACGAAAACAACTTAGGAAGGATTAAAATCATCCAGAAGGTAAACCACCGAAGATCGAGCCGAGAGGCTGACAGGGGGGGGCTGGCCGGTGTCACATCCCAAAATATCCATTTTGGACTGTGAATTGAAAACACTAAATAAAATAAAAGGCTTCATGAATTTTATAAAATTTTCCAAGATTTAATTATGTTGATTATAATTTAAACAATGAAAAATGTGTGATTTTCTCAAACTTTTGTAATCTAATTTAATATGTTTGTTGCATTCATGCTGAGAACATTAATGTTATTGTGTGAAAAACGAATTTAAAAACGCGTTTAAGCCTTGAATAGGCTTTGCTCTATTTAAAAAATAATAATAAAGTTCAAATTATGATTTAAAAAACTCTCAAAAAAATAGTTTGAGTTTTAAAGTCTTTGAAAATGTAATTGAAATATAATCTCTAAAATCATAATCAACTCTTTTATCCTTGTTTGATTAAAATCCTTTTAATCTCATGCCAAATCTTTATTCATGCATTATCCATCTCATATTCTCCTCAAGTGATCACATTTTAGTCCGCGAACAGAATTTCCATCGTCTCCATTGTAAAAGCAATTCCCTTTCTCTCTTTTTCTCCATTTTCTTTTGTCCATGTATTCTTTGTCCTAGTCTCCACCAGCATAAAAATCATTCACGTAAATCTTACAGCAGCAGCTAATTAACCTCTCTCTCCCTTCTTCACCGTGGTTGGCATTTCGTCTCACAACAAATTAGCTTGCCTCTTCACCTAGCTACTATAATGGCCCCACGTGCACACTATCATGCATATTTGAATCAACCACTTAACCCTCCAAGTCCAATAATCCATGATGTAAACAGCTCCACTGCTTTGAATAAGAGTAACTCCCGCCGCCCCTTCAGCTCCCCTTCCTTGGTCTGTTGATTCGCGCAATCAATCCCGGCACTAATACATTCATAAATTTCCCATGATCATCTTTCTTTTTCTTTGAGCTTATTTCCTTTGCACGTGCTCCACACAAGCAAATCACCAGGGCCGTCATTTATTTCTTTCCAACAAGCAAGTAATCAGGTGTTCACGCCTATCGTCCAACCCAAGTAACGTTTTGATATTCTCTTACTGTCTTCAGTACGCAATAATATCTGAGGAACCAAGTTTGTTCAATTACACCATAAAATCCCACCACAGCTCACCAATGATTAAAACTAGTTCCACTTCATCGCACATCAGTTTCCACCATCAGAGGGCAGCCAAAACGTGAACCGCAGTGCCCATCAATTTGAGCACCACCCCCAA